AAAAGCAGCCACAGATAATACATAAACAAATGAGCTATCCTATGTTCAAATAAAACTATTTACAAAAACAGGCAGTAGGTTGGATTTAGCTCGTGGGCCATAGTTTGTCAACCCCTGCCTCAAAAAGTATTTTAGCAGGACTCAAGACCTTTCACTCCATAAGTTAAATAAATTTGGTACCCAAGAAGATATGAACTCATATATTCATGCTAGACTACATATGACAGACCAATCTTGGACTTGATTTTGGGAGGGGGTAAGAAAGAACCCAAGACATTTGACATATGAATAGGAAAATAATCTAATGGGAACAGAGCTGGAAGAAAGGGCAATTCCATTACCCTTGCCCTTGACTGGTTAGGTATGGAATGTGCCCCAATCCTGGCCAAAGAGACTGAGAAGACATCTGATGGGGGCTTCTGGAAAAGAAATAGTCCTCATTCTTTTGGATACTGCTGTGTCTAGTTGGCACGCTCGTTCTGCTGCAGCCAAACTGGGGCAAAGGGAAAGCAGTCCTACTATGAAGCTAATGGGGAAAACTACAGGGCACTAAATTGGAAAGAGAATGAGTCCTCAATGTCATTACTGAGTCACTCTTGAGCCTCTGGACTTTATCATGTAAGATAATAAATTTTCTCATTATTTAAGCCAGTTTGAGAATCTTCTATTATTGCAGCCAAAGCATCTTAAACAATGTAATGACTGGAAACTGAAGATTGCTCACTTCACAATTTCACCTGCAGCCAGTCTTATTTAACTTCAACTTTTCAGAAATAAATTAAAAGAAACATTTAAGGCCCTAAAAGCCCATAAAGATTAACTACAACTCAGGCAAAGCTATATCAAACACTGATACTGAAATTCAGAACTTTACAAATTCCCTAATTCTGGAGGAAAAAAACATGCAGTACCTCCTTCTTTGATACTGTATCAAAAACATTCCTTCAACAGGATTTCTTTTCTCCAAATCAGGGGTTGGCAAACTTTTTCTGTAAAAGGCCAGACACTAAATACTTCAGGTTTTGCAAAAAATATGGACTCAGTAAACACTTCATGTTTTGCAAAAAATATGGACTCTTGAGTCATTTTAGCTCAAAAGCATCCATACATAATATGTAAATGAATGGGCAATTTGGTGTTCCAATAAAACTTTATTGACAAAAACAGGCAAGCAAGCTTGATTTGGCCTGCAAACCAGTTTGCTGACCTCCTCTCTAAACAGTTAACAGTAACGAGAATATCTTTCTCAAACAAATCAACTTTATGTGAACTCAAAAATAGCTTATTTCAAATGTACATAAATTATGTAGAAAAGTAACCAGCATTTCTCAAGCATTCTATTCATATACATTAGATCGCTTGACATAAAAAAAAAAGTTCACTTATTTATATATATAACTAACCCCAATAAAATTAATTTCAAATTCTATGGTTAAAATGTAACTGATATTACAACAGGAAAAAAATACAAAACTTACTCATATGCAAATTTATAACATGTACCTATTTAACAAAACTAAGGTTTGTTTTTGTGGGTTTTTTGGTGAGGAAGAATGGCTCTTAGCTACCATCTGTGCCAACCTTCCTCTATTTTATATGTGGGATGCCACCACAGCATGGCTCGATGAACAGTGTGTAGGTACATGCCTGGGATGCAAACCCATGAACCCCAGGCCACTGAACCAGAGCGTGTGAATTAATCACTATGCCACCTGGCTGACCTCTAAAACTAAGTATTTTAAATTAGTGAATTTGCAAAGATTTCTATACATACTGGCTATACAAAGAAAAAAAACAACACCCCTACTTAACTCCTAACCCAAATGTACCCCTCTCTTCTAGGAAGCTGAAGATAGAGTACACTATTAAATGGAATGAAGAAATAAAGAAGTGAATCACACCGACTATATTTCCTTTCCAAACAGTTCCCAGGTACAAAGAAACACATTATATGGACATTTCACTACCCAAAATCATAAACCCTTTTTTAAAGGACATCATTTTTCACTGTCAATTATATAACCATACTTTAAGAAGAAAACAAAAAATGAACTTCACCTTCAATCACTAATCAAGAAAATTTGCACACGTACATAAACATACTTTCAGGAATTATTATAGGAAATTCAATTGTGATTTCATTCAAATGATGAAAATCTGAAAAACATTACTCAATGTGTAACACAGTAATAAATCAAATACCCTTTCAATGTTTGTTACAAAATAACCTTATTTTTATAGAATTTAAAATCACAAATAAGGTATATAAAGTATATGTTTATCCTTGCATAAGTATTGGCATTTTCTATATACAAAGAATTGCTAATAGCAATTACCTATGAAAAACAGGACTGGGAAAGAGGTGGGGAGTTCAAGGGAGTGAGAAGGACTTTTACTTTTCCCCTTACATCTTTCTGGGTTTAACTTTGTCATAAAATCTATTACTTTTATTGTCTTTAAAAATGATTTAAAATATATGTTCAATATAAATTAATATTGAGAAATATACCAGGAACTAAAATGAATAGGAAAGGCAGGATTTCTCTGAAAGAGGCTGGAAACTGAGGAGCTTTCTGGGGTCAGGCTGGCCACTTCTACCACTGAAGAGGTGAGGAGATACTGGCTTTGGAAGTTAGGGAGGTTCCCCCAATGGCCTTTAGCCATCAGGAACTCGGTGATGGTTAAAATAACCCTGTAAGGGTGGAGTCTACAGCAACACAATCCAGCTCCACTGAACCCAGTACCTCAGGGGTAATATCAGGGTAGCTAAAAGAAGTGCCTGTTACCTCTTGGTTTGCAGGAGGTCCAAGCCATCCAAGAAAAGGTGACTTCCTTGACCTCCCAGATTTACAGCAATAGCATGATTATATTAACTACACCCTAGTGGGTATGCTCCACCAACATAGCTCAGTCTTCACAACCTTAATAGAACACATTTTTTTTAGGCTTTGGTCTTTGGAAAATATTGGTTAAAATTTGCCATTTTTAAATGACGGAAGTCAAAAAGCATTAAGTTAAAAACTGATGAAAAAACAAACTCCCACCATGATTCAACATTTCAGATTCTATTAGAATCTATAGTGGATTATATTAAAAGATTGAGAATTGAAATTAAGATAAAAATACATAAAAGACTTTCATTTCAACAGCCTGCCAAAGATAAACATGAATAAGAAAATCCAATTCTGCTCTTGGGAATGGAGAAGCAATAAAGAAACAACCCTTGTTACCCTCCCTGAGACTACTGAGAGTTAGCAAGAGAGAGTACAGCAAAGCCTGTCATTTCTTACCACCACAGGAAAAAGAATAATCAATTTAATTTCCAGTTAAGCAGTAACAATGTCCAAAACAAAGGACAGACTCAACATACTTTCCCCACACTGAAATTAATTACATTTAATTTCTGAGCCTCTCCTACATGCTCTTCCATGCGTGGGGATACAGGAGTCAACAAAACAATGTATAATCCACAAGGGCAAGAATTTAACATTTCTAAATGCCATAATCAAATTTTGCCTCATTTAAATAAAACTGTAAAGAATGCCAATGCACATCTATTCATTCCTTACTAATAATATATTAACTGTTTATTAAATTCCATCCTATATAAAAAAGAGATTAAGCAAAGAAACAAAATTCAGTACAATCCTTGTGACAGCATACTATTAACTTCAAAACAAGTGTCCTACATTTTACCACATTTGAGGTAAACTGTTAGTTTCTGGAAGATAAAGCACAATGGTGAAAGCAATGGAAACCTGAAAACAAACAAAAAAAGTGCAATCCTGAATATTAGCCTCTCTTTTCAAATCTAATAATGCTGTTTTGGCAAATGGATTAAGCCATTATTTATCCAGCAAAATGAATGGGCAATTGTTCATTCAGAGCTCCGTTCGAAATATAAAAGGGTATTTAGTGTTCTAAAAAATGTATGCTCCGTAAACAATAGATTGCAATGTCTATGCCCAAGTACTCGTTTATCAAATAAACTCTTATTATCTCAGGCTTTTACATTTACATCAGGCCAGTCTTGGCGCCATAGGACTCATTAAAACGTCTTCTACAAAACCTCAACTGTATTTAAAATATATTTTTGATGAAGTTGACTTTTAACACATTTCTAACCTCATTAATAATCACTCCTTAAGGGGGGTGGGAAACCCCAAATATTGGAAATAATCAATCCATATCTGGATAGGAAGTGATGTGCTCTATTTAAACCGAAATACTAATGTAGTGCCCCCCGTTTCAAAGTTAGCCCGGGAATTAAGTTTAGAACTCTTTAAAGGAAGGGGGGACTGCAAAGTGCTCAATTCGTCTGAGGGGGTCTAACACAGCAATCGGGCTGCCTCGAGGGCCCGAGCAAGTTGCCAGGTCCGCAGCCGCAGCCGCAGCCGCAGGCAGAGCGGAGCGGCGGCCCTCGCTGCGCGGGTGCGGCTGGCAGCGGCTCCGCGCCCCAAGCCCCGTCGTGCAACATCCCTTTAGCCACTAGGGCGGAACGCACGCTCTCTAGTAATTCAACACCCTCACTTTCAAACGGGTGGCCGGGGAGAAGTTGTTCTCATGAATTCCCTCCCGACACTGCAAAACGTAATGCTCCCCGCGCTTCATAACTGCATTTCAAACTACCCAGACAGGACGCGCCAGGCCGAGCCCGGGGCGGCGCCCAGGCGGCGGGAAGCCGACCGTCCCGCAGGCCGCAGGGGGGTCCGCGGCCCACGCCGAAGGCGGACCCCGCGCCCGGGAGGAGGAGAGACGCGCGACGGCGTGTTCCGGCCACGACTCAGGCCAGGCCTCGCGGCGCCCTCCCCGGGAGCGGCCTGGCCGGCCGGGCCGTGTGGCAGCAGCGCCGCGGCCCGCGGGGCGCGAAGGGAGGCGCGCGAGGCCCTGGCGGCGCCGCCAGCGGCAGCGCGGCCCCCGCCACTCCTCGCCGCCACCTCAGCGTCTCCGGCGGAGCCTGCGAGCGCGCGGTGGGGGAAGGGAGGGCGCCGGCGGCTTACCCCGAGAGCGAGCGGCTCCTTCCCGCCCGGAGGCTGGCTGGGGCGCTGCGCGGGGGCGCCGGGCGTCGCGGCTGCGGCGGGGAGAGAGACGCGGTGGTCGAGCGCGGGACCGCGGGAGAAGAGAGGCGCCGCCGCCACCGCAGACAGCTCCGCAATATGGCCGCCCGGCGGCTCCTCGGGGGAAAGGCGGGGCTGCCCCGCGCCCCCCGCCCCCCGCCTCCCCCTGCCGGCCGGCCGGCCTCGCGCCGCGGCCTGAGCGCCCGAGCCGCGGCCGGGGCCGCCCGCGCCCCGCCCCTGCCGCCCCGCCCCTCGCGCCCCCACCCGCCGCGCGGGGCGTGGCCGGGGGGGTCGCCCTCCGGGGCGGACCCCCAAGGGAGCGGGGCCAGCGCTGAGGAGGGGGTTCTCCTTCCAGGGAGCGCCGGGCTGGAGCGAAGCCCGCAGGGGAAGGAAGCGGAGACGCCCGAGCCGAAGCTCCGAGCGGGCCCGCCGCCTCCCGCCGCGCGTGGAAACTTGAAACTCCCGCTGGTGCCAGAAAACTCACCGAGGGCGTTGCCGTCGCCCCCACGGAGGACTTCTTCCCCGAGGGAATCGGAGCCGAGTCGAGCGTGGTCCTTGGCTGTTCAGCTTGAAAATCCTGGACCGGGAGAGACAGGCCTACGTTAGAGAGTTTATATATGCGACAAGGAACGTTTACATTAATTTGGCAGGTTTTACTCCACTAGAAAAACATGCTTTTGCAGGGGCAGTTTTTCAACTCCACCAAAACCTCGATGGATTATGGCCCCAATCGAGAGTGCAGATTTTCATCCAGGCGAGGATGTTTGATAATTTTTTATTACCACCGCATTCTTTGGCATTTGGAGTCGGTTAAGAAGAAAATGTTGGAAGTGGAGCCCCAAAGAGCAGCCAAACCTGAATTATCCTGGATTTACAGAAAGTTGGACATTTGATCATAGCCTAACTCGAGCCCACTCACTTTAGTAGTGGCTGGGACTAGAAAGACTTGTGGTCAGTGTCGTATCATCTACGCTCTGCTCCCTCTCCTCGGTATTTTCTGCTGAGATTCAAAGAGCAAAACTTGTATATATAAGTATACAAGCGGCAAGCGCACAAAATCAGATTAGCCTAGCTTGCCCTATTTGCAATGCTTTATATAGTTTACCTTTTATGAACAAACTTTAGATTGAAATAACAAAACTTCACAAGTGTACTTAACTTTCATGGAACAAATAATCCATATCCTTCCTGCCTTAGCATTTTCCCTTCTCTGAGACAGTAGCTTTTCCAGGAACTCTCCCCAGATCATTTTCACTAAGCTTACTCTTCAGTAAGTTTCCACCGTTGCCCTTTGAGACCACTCCAAACAATTAAAAGCCCCAAGAGTTAAAACTCAAAGGCCTTTAGATTGCAAATTCCTCAAGGATGGGAACCAGGTGTGTGTGTGTGTGTGTGGTTTTAACTAAAAGATTGCTCCCTGACTTTCTCCCTGGGATGCAAGAACTTTCCAGGTAATTGTTCAGCCTTCCACAACAAGCTGCACACATAAAGTCAAGGTGTTATGTAAATTCCTGGATGGTACCCTAATCAAACAAAAGTGTATAACATACTTTTACAATGGAAAATGAAGCATTAGCTGTTGTCATTTGCCAGGCACTGGTGTAAAATGCTTTTAGGTGACTCTTTTAATAATTATAGCAACCTTGTGTTTGGGGTAAGTATTATTAATGGCTTTTTTTTTAAGTGATGAATAAACAGAGCCTCAAAGGAGTGAAGTAATTTGCTCAATGTAACACAGCTAGGAAGTGGCAGAGCTATGAACAAACCCAGTAATATTTGACTTCAAAGCCTTGATTTTATCCTATACTCTGCAACAGCAAACAGACCAGAAATTTTAACATTTCAATTGGCTATCATATTAGTAAATATTTAAGTAAAAGATAATATTCAAGGCTGGTCACATAACAAAGGTACTCCAGACATTGTGAGTGGGAGTGTAAACTGAAACAACTTGTTTAGAAAGCAGTTTGGCACTGTGATTCAACCTATAAAAATGTTCATACTCTTGAAACCCGTAATCCATATCTGGGATTCTTTTTGAATGAAATAATCTGAAATAGAGCAAAAGCTTTATTCATAAACTCTACATCACAATATTTATTCATAAGATGCAAAAGTAAAAATTATGGATACTAAATGTCTTCATAGTAACTGTGTCTACTCTGTCGCATTTTAGGGTAACAATTTTAAATGTTTGTGTAATGTATATAACATCACGGCAAGTGTTTTTTTAATAGTATAAAGCAGGGGGAAAAAGTTTTGAAGCTCTCCATGCAGTATGATCACATCTATGTTGTGAAAGAACTATGAGGTGTTAGAAAGATTGATTGCTGGCCAGCCCCTGTGGCCTAGTGGTTAAGTTTGGTGCCCTCCGCTTTGGCAGCCCGGGTACGGTTCCTGGGTGTGGACCAACACCACTCTTCTGTCAGTGGCCACACTGTGGCAGCAGCTCACATACAAAAAAAAAGAAGAAAAAAAAGAGGAAAAGTGGCAACACATGTTAGCTCAGGGTACATCTTCCTCAGGGGGAAAAAAAAAAGATTGAACCCAGAGTTGTCTGGGTAGTGTTTCTATGGGCATTTTTTTGTCCTTTATTCTATTCTTCAGTATTTTCTGTAATTGTTTTGCAGTGTAAAAAAAACCCAATTTATTTAAGTTGGGTTTTACTGCAATATGGACCATCAATTACATAAAAGCAGCAAAGCCACTGTTTCCTAAGTGTGAGGTTGTTCTGTGAAGAATTGTGATGAACTGAGCTGACAGAATTTTATAGTCACATGTCAGGTCTACTGTTGATTGTAAATGTAATCTGCACACACCATTATTTTATTTTGTTCCTTACATTAAATATAGGCACCTTTAAATGAAATATTAAGATTTAATTAAAAATTTTCTTTCTCAGTTTATCTAATATTTCAGATTTCAGGGGGAAAAAATCATGCATATTTGCTGAAACTACTTTTTTCAGAAAAAAAATATGTCAGTAGTTACAAAAATTTTTTTATATATGGCACATAATACGCATAAAAAAGAAACACCAAAACTAAATCTATTTCAGTCTATTACTAAGGCTTCTATGCTACAATCCTCCTCTACTCCACCACAATATATTGGCTAATTCTGAATTCTGGAATTCCAGTAATAGTTGCAAAGCTTTTATCTCACTAGCACATATAAAAGTCTTTCTGGAAAAGGAAGAAAATTCATTTTTGCACGTATGGTTTATAAATGGAAGTTTTTCAATCTAGAATAAACATTGCGTTCTAGCCCTCTGGTAGTTTGAATAAGACTTCGTCCCTGCCCTCTAATTTCAGTAATGGGAAAGGCAAACAAACAGTTCTGTGCTCTCTGAGCTGTAATAAAGATAGACACATAGTGTCAAGGGAGACAGAAAAAATGGCATTCCACTCTGCCTAGAGAAGAAAAAGCCACATGGGAGGGGTGAGTTAAGGGATGGGTACAAGTTCCCTAAGAGGAGGAGTGGGGAAAGGCAATCAGCTTTGGAGACTGAGTAGCAAGATGGGGTTGATGTTTAGACATCAGGGTGTTGGTAACCAGAAGTTTCAGAAAGGTTAGTTGAGATCCCTTTGGGAAGTTCAGAATTTGTCTTTCATCCCTGAGGTAACTGGAAGCCATAAGAGGTATTAAGAAGAGGCATTATGTGATCTGATTCACGCTGGTAAAGTAACTGGCAGCCATGTGGATTGCTTGGGACAGAGGTTCAGTGACAGAGTGAATGGTGAAATCATCAGGGATGCCTTAGATAAACAATTTTGCTATAAAGGCTCAGGCAAGAGAATGAGAGACTACACTTCGGAGGGTGTGAGGATGAAGAAGAGGAAATAGAATCTTTTAAAAGATTTGGAGATAGACTTTGAGGAGTGAGAGAAAAGGAGATGTGAAAATGATTTCGGAGTTTCCAATGGGTACCAGTGAGATAAATGGGGAGTATAAAAGAAGTAGAACTGAGAGATCGAGGTAATCAGGCCTGTTAGGAAGATGCTGACTTTTAAGTGTCTGTGGGCAATCTAGGAACAAATGTATATTCAGTAACTGGAAATATATGAACTATAAGAACTATGGCAAATGAGACATCCAATAAATACTTGTTAAATAAATGAACATTGATATACTAAAACAGGCCTTTCTTTTCCAACTATGTCTTTGGAAAGTATAGTCTTGTTCAAGCCAAGGATTTTAGTACAAAATTAGATATTAAATTAATCTGAAGCATCATAATATACTAAAATGTTTTTCCATCAAAAATTTTTATTCACTATTTTTAAAAAGCTATAAAAATGTAAAATCACAACTATTTTTACAAGCTATACATAGAAAAATACAAAAGAAAATTTCCTTTTATAAATCGTGATATTTCATTCTTTTCACACCATCTTGCATATTTAAGTACATATTCAATAGTAGAAAAGCCCTCAGTAAAAATAGACAAAGTAAATAAAACAATCTTATCATCTGCTTTGTATGCCTAGTAAGCCATACAAATTTAATTGCTGATATAAGCTATAAAATTTCAGTACAGTCAATACAGGTTTGGTGCCTAATATGCCTAAACTAAGAGTCAGGAAACCACAAGTCTATTCCTACCTTTATTCTCTCCCTATCTAAGATCAAATTACATAAGTACATAATTCATAATGTGTTCACAGATATGAGCATATTAGTCTTAACAAAGACAAGGTAGAAGTTATTACTTAATCCTCTCTGCTTATATAATAAAGCCAATTTAGTTTGTGATAAACGGCAATAAAATTTCAGAGGTAAGTAATAAACTGAGTGGAAAGAGTCTAAATGAGGGAATCTATAATCTTGGCTTTGTTCCCAGTTCCAACAAACAAGTTGCTAAGTGACCTTGAAAGATCCAATGGACTATTCTGTAACTTACTTGCAAACAATGTTAAAAGAGGGAGAGTCTTAACGCCTCTTGTGCCTTTCCCAGAGATCGTTTTAAGACCTCATAGATTTTCAGGACTAGAAGAGGACCTCAAAGAGCCTTGAAGCCCCTCTCCAACGTTATCCTGAAATGGCCAGCCAATCAAAAGTGGCTTCCTGCCACTTGTGAG